TAGAATCAGTGATTCGTCCAATAAGCCCATTTTCTAGTTTTTGCAACTAGTTCGATGGCAGGTAATGATTTTATCATCAAATTAAATTAGTTAACATAATATATCAATATATGTAGTTCATTATTACAATTTGAACTAACAGTAGCTGCCCAACTTAGAGAGTGTCGGATATGATTGATGCAGTTGTGGTACACATTGACGGTTTTTAATACAATAATACTTTGGCTGTTGATGATATTCTCGGAACCCTAGCGGGAAATTATCAGTGCTCAGTGTTCACGACTTTTCGGGGATATAATTCCCGGAGATAATTATAAAGTTTCTAGATACGACCGGATTGTTGAGTGAGAATTAGCGGGATGAGCCGGGTTAACAAATTTCCGGAATTGGGTGTATACTTATTTGTGTGTGTTTGAAAAAATATGATTCGTTTTTGCTCTCTTGAGTGTGGGTCGATCTCTACTATAGTACTACCTGTAAAACAAAATATGTGTTGTCGACGTTTCGGCTACATGAATTTGTCATAGACGAACACTCAGTGCTGTCTATCAGTTAGATACTGCTCCGCAAGATCTATTTGAAATAAATACATTTTTGTGCCGTGTCTATATATATTTAATAACTATATAATATATATGATTAATAATTAGTAGTATAATTATGTATATTATACCTAAGACGAGTCGGTCAGTGTTCTCTTTAGTAACTTTGATTCGATATAATTCTATTTACCTAATTTTTCTCAAACCAGGTGAATACCCATGTGGATATCTTGCCTGAAACAAATGTCACAGTGGAATACATTTACACATATTACTCATACGGCTGATATCCACTCTGACGGAATTTTTGGGGTTCGTTCCTGCGATGGGAAGAATGACTGCCTTAACACAAACCTTGATGAAGCTTTCTGTGAATATCAAAAAGACTCTGAACTGTGTGATCTTATTTGCTCCCCATATGGTGATTGCACCGGACGAACAGTTTTGTAATGGTTTTGAGTACGGTGGTCAGTGTGGAGAGTTTTTGGACAACAATCTGATGAACCAAACTTGGTATTTTACTGCAAACTATGGGTGTGTGACGGGGTAAAAGACTGTAATGATGGGAGCGATGAAAAGGATTGTGTGATCAATGAAATGACAACAAACGTGCCTCAATTTAAGAAAAGGGGGTTTATAGTACCGCTTCATAATTATACCCGATGTGCCGCAAGACCTTCGCAGCAGAATGAGTTGGAATTACCAGACGAAATAATACTATTTGTGACGATTACAGCGACCAAACCAACTGCTCGGACCCATCTAGAGTGGGTATAGAATGCCCAGTTCGTGGATACAACACCACTGTTGCCAAGCAGATCATCTGCCTGAAATCATTACACGTCCAAACCATTCCCATCAACTCCATACCACAAATATGGACGATGGGATCGATTAAGGCGTGCGTTGAAAGCAGTGCTCTTGTTTTATACACAACACCTTTTGTGTGATGGTCACCCAGATTGCGGTGATAGTAGTGACGAACGTCTAGACCTAGGCAAATTATGATCCACAAGAAATGTACGAGAAGGTATATTTTCCCAGGTTATGGATGACATTGTCTTTCCCTTTTGCATGGGAGCATGACGGACTGGTCGACTGCACGAATGGTGAAGATGAAAAGGTGCATTGGCCAACTTGTGGAAAGGGGTCAACATTCGCCTTGTTAGTCACGATGAAACAGAATGTGACGAGGTATTCATATGTTACAACTCGGACCTAAGGTTTGTTAGCTTTTCCAACCTATGTGATAGGAAAGAATCTTGCGGTAATGAAATGAGATATGCAGTGTGTCGAGAATTCAAACTATACTTTTGCAAAAGCTACAAGAGATAGCAAGAATGAAAATACGAATGCAACATTGCCTAGCAGGACTTATTGAAATATCAAATCTTACCAACCAATATTGTTCAGAGTAAGTTTCCTTTTCCCCTGACACAGACTTCTTTGGGCGGAACAAAACTACTGAGATAATGTTACCAGACGCAAAGAAAGATTGCAGATACTTTTTTGGAGAGTTATTACGTTTTTGCAAGCTGTTTGGGACGTTGCATGAATGCAACTTGCCCACTAAGAAGTATCGATAGGGTGGGGACTCTTGCAGTGGACAATTCGATAGGGATTAGATATTCACCCCAGGACAAAGAAGGTCAACTTACTTTCCTGATCAAAGATTTCAATACAGGGAAAACTCGGCAATGATTTATTCTTTGTGAAAACGGCAAATGTAATCACTTATGACAAAGTATGCCGACCTGGCTGATGATTGTGGAGATAGTTCAGATGAGTCAGGGTGCACTAACCACTTTAAGTGCCATAAATCTGGGGGTGTACCTTCCAATCACCCAGAAATGTGATAAAACTGTTCACTTGCTCCGATATTTCAGACGAATGCAATGAAAGTTGTGGACAAGAAATCGTTAACAGCAGTTTCCTTAAGCTTGTTGGTTGGACCATTGGAGTGTTAGCTCTCATCTTAAATTGTGTGTCAGTATTTAAGAAATCTCTAGTATACAGAGCTACAAAATCAGAAGCTGCACTTCTCAACAGAAGCTTGGTTTTTCTAATCAGCATGGGTGACCTCATGATTGGTATCTACCTTACCATGATCTCGGTTTACAATACTTATCACAGTAAAACGTACTGCTCGATTCAACTAAACTGGCTTTAATAATAATAATAATAGGATTATGGCCACATAGCCATCTCGACAAAACTTAAAACCCAACTGCACTCTACGCTATTGCAGTTCGCAACAATATTTTCAAAAGAAAAATGTTCCTATCCGGACATGTAATGATTAATTATTTTAAGGACGTTAACATGTAGTTCTGAATTTAACAATCAAGTTACATTGATTCCCTCGGTATTTAGCAATTCAATGGTTTATTAGAACAGAAATATGCATATGAATCATGCTCACATGTATTTATTTTGACATCAAGGTTTCGCTGAGATCCCAGAAGTGACCCTTTGACGATGCTCCACTCGCTATCAGTTCATTTTTATAACATTGAAGTCGAGCTTTGAATGCGTCTACTGAACTGGCTTCTTTAACCGAACTTGGGTACTTTGTTCCAGTAATTGGCAACCGGTTACTGAGGACCTGAATTTCCTCTTTTATCTTTTAGGATCTTGGTACCACTACGTGATATCCTGAAAAGATCTGGTCCATAGTCCACTTTACCCGTCGTTATTTAAAGGTTTCAATAAGATCACCCCTCATACGGCGCGCTCCAGTAGTGTTGTTAACTGGAGGATTCTCAGTCTCTCATCGTATGGTAGGATACCAATCCCGTCGATTATTCGTGTAAATTCTCTCTGAACATCTTCTATCTTCTTATAGTACCTCCAGTTTCCGTGCTCTGCTGGTAGATTCCACACTTGCACAGCGTATTCGATGTGAGGTCGAACTAGAGTTCGGTAGACATTTAGCATAAACAAATTTGTTACGGCAGATCAAGCTTCGTTTGATCCAGCCTATAACAGACTTTGCTTTTTTCACGGACTTATCTATATGGTCACTCCAGTCCAGGTTTCCTGGTAGTTAGAACTCCAAGAATCCTTTTCTGACTTCACTTGGGGGAGGCATTCCCCATTCATGAAGTACTCATGCGATTGGATTGTTACGCCCAATATGTAGTACCTTACACTTTGCCATCCTCTCACATTGAATTTAGGAGCCTTCCTTCTCCCACGCATTGAGTTTTCAGTATTCATCTTGTGCAACACTGTGCTTAGCTGTGCTCGTTACTAGCTTAAGATCGTCAGCAAAGAGTGTACGAAGCTCTCAATTCCATCAGGGAGATCATTATGAAGAGCAGGAAGAGCAGGGGCGCCCAGCACGGTTCCTTGAGGGACCCCAGATGTTACAGCAAAGACTCTAGAAAAATGATGATCAACCCTGACCACGAAATGTTCTTCTGTTAGAAAGTCTTCCACGACTGCAAGGGTGTTGCCAGATATTCCAAAGGATTGCAATTTTCTCAGCAATCGTTTGTGTGGTACAGAATCGAAAGCCTTCTGAAAATCGAGATACAGTATATCAGCTGACCCGTCCTTCTCTAGTATCTCACTGACAATGTCCATACATTCCAGGAGGTTCGAGACGCAGGATCTTTTGTGTAACATCTGTGTCGCTTTAGGCATCATAAGCACTACCGGCTCCCAAGTATCTTTGCTATCCATGACTGCTTTGGGCTTACTGAGAGCTTTCGGTGTATATAATAACAATTTAGTAGATACCTAAGGAAGTCACAAACAAAAGTTTGATAAAAGTGGTCGTAATACTTTTCACTATCTTGATGGTATCATCAGTTATTCTTGGCCTGCCTTTAGTTGAAGAACTCGAAGATTTCTTTGTGGAATGGTATGAAATACGAAATTCAAACTCACTGTTTATTGGCTGTCCGGATAAATATGTACACCGAGAAATACTTCAGAAGTATATGGCAGGATAGCAGCCGAGGAACCTCACTTGGGCTCAATAAAGGTTCTTGTAGACGCTATTTTTTCCAATGACTACGGAGGGATTTCTCGTTACAAACTTTCGTTCTATGGTAAACGCACCTGTCTGTTTATTTAAGTATTATGTCAAAAGGATGATCCTCAACAGGGCTTTGTTTTCTTGATCATTTGCATTAATTTCGCGTGTTTTGTCACTATAGCAGTTTCTTATATGGCAATAGTGATTAAGGTAAAGAAATCTGCAAGAAAGCTGGACAAAATCGCTACAAAACAGACAAAGAAAAAAATATCAAACTGGCAAAAAGTTACTCAATGGATTACTTTACGGATTTTGCATGCTGGGTACCTTTTATCATACTTGTTGCTTTCATTATGCCGACCATTTTAGATGCAACGCCATGGTATCCCTTATTTTCAATTCTTGTTTTACCAATAAATTCGGTGATTAACCCTCTTTCTATACGACATATCTCTGAGACATCACTTTATTCCATGTTTAACAAACTTAAACGAAAAGTAGTCGCTTTCTTTTATTGTTACAGCAGCAGCAAGCAGCAGCAGCTGAAAACAACAGCAGCTGAAACACCAGCAGCTAAAACACCAGCAACAGCAGCAGCTGAAACACCAGCAGCAGCAGCTGAAACACCAGCAGCTGAAACACCAGCAGCTGAAACACCAACAACAGCAGCAGCTGAAACACCAGCAGCTGAAACACCAGCAGCTGAAACACCAACAACAGCAGCAGCTGAAACACCAGCAACACCAGCAGCTAAAACACCAGCAGCTCAAACACCAGCAACAGCAGCAGCTGAAACAGCAGCAGCAGCTGAAACACCAACAGCTAAAACACCAGCAACAGCAGCAGCTGAAACACCAGCAGATGAAACACCAGCAGCTGAAACACCAGCAACACCAGCAGCTGAAACACCAACAGCAAAAGCAGTAGCAGCATCAGTAGCAGAAGAAATGGTAGCAGAAACAGAAACAAAGACAGCATCAGTATCATTATCAGTACCAGCATCAATTTCACCATTAGCAGCAGTATTAGTAGCAGTAGAGACAGTAGCAATAGTAGCAGAAACAGTGTCAGCATCAGTTTCAGCATCAGCTTCAGCATCAGTATCATTATCAGTACCAGCATCAATATCACCATTAGCAGCAGTATTAATAGCAGTAGAGACAGTAGCAATAGTAGCAGAAACAGTGTCAGCATCAGTTTCAGCATCAGCTTCAGCATCAGCATCAGCATCAGTAACAGCAGCAGTAGAAACAGCAGAAGACGAAATAAAACCAGACGAAACAGAAGAAATAGTAGCAGCAGACGAAACAACAGCAGTAGCAGTAGAAACAGCAGAAGGGCAAACATAACGGTGTAACTGTAAGATCAATTTGACTATTGATTCCGTTAAAATAAATCAGGGAACCACTTTCTGAGAACATTTTCTCCGGCCCATTTATTTATTATTTGGTCACGGTTAGACACCACAAAAATAGGTCGCACATTATATTTACTCGGCATAAACCAACTCTGGCAAATACCGCTGGTTATTTTAAATCTATCAAATAGTAACATTTGTAACCAGCGCCGGGCGCTGGTTATTTTAAATTTATTGAATTGTGGTGTATTTCAAATCTATTGAATTTAAATCAATCTATTGAATTGAAATCTCCACATTTGTAAGTTTTGTTAACAATCAATATATATTCTTCAATTATGTTTGATGTGAGATAACGTTTAATTTATAGAGTACTAATGATCCTGATGAGTAAACACTCTCTTGAAAAAGAAAAGTCTAAGTCTATCCGGTGGCGGACCTTGGATCATGAAATTTACCCCCAAAGAGATCAGACCATGTCATCCGGCCAATGACCAATCAGTGACGATTAATTGGTGATGTGATCGATCCATCAGTAGAATTCGATTGACCTAGAAATTGGCTAGATAGTAGATAGGGTTCACATGACTACTTTGTACATGTACAAAATATATCAATATGTATATAGTAACTATTTGACCAAAACCCATAATCATGGGTAGAGTGTACCGCTGTCAGTGTCTCTCTTTTCCAAACAAAAGGAAATGATATTAATTTGAATAACTGTCCGCAAATGCAAATTGATACCGAGAATGAAATCGGTCGCTCGCTTTTTCCATTCATTCACGGCTTAAGAATTGTAATAAAGCTTATTGAGCACCTTTTCACCAATTTTGATCTGGAGCAATCCATCAGTAAGGAAAAGGGTCCAAGCTGTAAATCCGTTTTTTATCCTTGCATCTCTCAGCGCTGGTGGTGTTTGGCACTGGGCACAACCTCCCGCGAGGAAGATGCCTTTTAGGTTCCACTGGAACTGACTGAGCATCGTTCTTTTGACGTCGAAAAAGAAGATTGTGTCATAAGTTCTCAGATTGGGGTTGGATAGTTTTCTTTTGATTGGTCGGCGTCGACGGTAAGCCTTCCTTACGGTGGTTTTCACAAGGCGTCCCCATTCTCCAACTCCTGCTGCTGGAGAGAGTGACTCCCAAATTATATACCATAAATATATTAAACATAGATATCGACAACAGACTCCGAGAGTCTTGAAGTTCTGTTACCACCGCCCCTGGTGCAACCCCGCCGGGTTAACGACGGAGAGACAGGGACTTCCAGGAGAGGTCATGGCCTGCTACGTGCAACTCGAAGGAGTATGCAATGTTCTTGTAACGTCACTGTAGACCGCTCCTCTATCGTTGTTTTGAGTGTCCGATTCAAAACCAAATCCTGGAGTACACGAGACGTGGAAGCCTGTGAGCGTGTTAGAGTCTGTTAAGTGTTAGAGTCCTAGGGTTACACGAGACGTCGTAGCCTGTGAGCGTGTAAAATCCTAGGGTTACACGAGACATGGAAACCTGTGAGCGTGTAGACCGCTCCTCTATCGTTGTTTTCAGTGTCCGATCCAAGACCAAATCCTAGGGTACATGAGACGTGGAAGCCTGTGAGCGTGTTAGAGTCTGTTAAGTGTTAGAGTCCCAGGGTTACACGAGACTTGGTAGCCTGTGAGCGTGTACACCGCTTCTCTATCGTTGTTTTGAGTGTCCGATCCAAAACCAAATCCTGGGGTTACACGTCATGTGGGAGCCTGTGAGCGTGTTAGTTTCCTGCGGAAGGTGTTATTTGCCTGTGGGAAAAGCGGTTATGCTGCGGTTCTAAGGTTAGTAGAGGCTATTAGAGCCTTTCCTTTGTTGTAGGGATGGCTAGTCCCTTCCTTTGCATAGGTTAGAAACACCCATGCACCTCCCGTTCGAGCCACACACCCCACACCGCGTGGAGGTTCGGTGAGGTTTTTCGTGGGGCTTGGGGTTGGATCATGATACTTCTTTTGGAATTGAAGAGATCTTGTTTTACTGCACACTTCATGCTGGAACAAAATCCACACTCCTTTGTCCAGCAGTATCATGTTCGGCGTTGTACTGAAAGGTTGAATAAATATTACATCACTTCACATATCATGCCGTCAAAATAGTTGGTATAACAGATAACTATAGTTTGTCATTTTCAACAAAAGATCTAGGCATGTGTGCTTTTAAGTTCTAAGTAACAAATTGTAAAATGTTTCGTAAAGGATGGTAGTAACTCCCATCCATTTACAATTGTGATAAATTAAGCAGCACTACCGTACCCAGAGGCAGTACTCTGAAATAAAGATTTGATAAACCTCAGCTTATTGGACACTATAACTAGCTATTACCGCCTTTATCCCAAAGTACTAAGTATCGGCCTGAAAGCAACCCGAGGCCTAAGGGGTTTCTAGAGAGTGTCATCAATGTAATAAACCTAAAGTTAAACTGATTAAAATTCGTAAGCCGTGAATAAATGGAAAAAGTGAGCGGCTGATTACATTCTCGGTATCATTTTGATGGGTTTTGGTAAAATCTATCTATACATTATTATTTATTATATATACATATATAATACTTCACCGTTCACGACAATCTGTTTTAAACAGGGGTTCCAGAAAACCCACTTCCCGATACTCCTGAAATTTGAAACTTTTTTTTGCAGTCGATTTGGTAGGGACTACGGGTGGAAGATGAATAATTAAAACTCCAACAGCATGAAGCATCTTGTTCCCTTCATTGTGCTGATTCCGGGAAGTCTTCTCTTTACGCCCTCATCATACTGTAGAATGAGGTATCGTTCATTTAAAATTGGGTAATTATAGGGCTGCAGTCAAAGATTGCAGCCCAATTAAGAGCTGATCAATTGCAGCTACTTGTAGTTGTACCATACAAGGGATAACTGAAGTCACGTGACATTCGGTCCAATATCGTATTTGGTCAACGTCTAGACGCCCTGCAAAATTTCAGATCTCCAACTCAATTTCAACATGGTTTTTAATTTTGAGGCACCTGAATATGGTGATTTTGGGTTTTTTTAACCGAATTTCGTAAAACATTAACAGTGTTGGCGCGTATTTTGTGCAAATTTCTTCATTCTTAAAAACCTCCACACTGTGACAATATAGGCAGGAAGTTTAAATGATTTTTCCTCTAGAGTTGTATTATTATTGTCAGTGGTGATGATATAACCAGCCCTGCTTCCTGAATCTGTGCGTGGCTCGTCTGTGTAGCAGTTATATCGCTGGATGGGATTCTGTTAATGGTGTTTTGCAGGAAGTCTCTGAATTCGGTATGACTATGTTTGCGCCAGGAGTTGTAACGGAAAAATTGGTATTGAAAGATCTCTCTCTGCTCGAGATGGTAATCGTTTATTGATGGTGATGTGAGTTGTGGTTGTCCATTTTCCATAGGTGATAGTTTCTAGGGAGAGGCTACCGTTGGCGTGCAGCCTAGCTGCACCCTTTGCTACTTCACCTCTAAGGAAAAGTATAATATCTGAAATGTCAGCGTCCAGCGAGGTGGCTCAGTGCGACGAAGGGAGTGCAATTGGCATGACATTGACACCACACATGATTCTAAGTGCCAGTGCCTGAAATCTTTGAACTTCTTTGCAAATTGTGCTCTGTTTGAGTCACCCTGATCCATATACTGCAGCAGTATAAGGTTACGATATGTCTAACAACAGCGGTGTACATCCACTTTGTCGGGTCCGGCAGCCTTCAAAGTCATATATGTATAGTATATAGTAAATAATAATAAAAAGACTATCTTATTGATTGAACATGAATATAACATAACGCTCATATGCCAACATTTTTGCACCTTTTATTGAAATAAAAAGCTTTTAGTCGTTGCGAAGTCATGAAAACCAAACATAAAATAGTCATGTGCTTTTTCGCACTTCTTTACAAATATTTCCTATAAATATCAAGTTGAAAATGATCAGTCATACTGTACTTTAACTTATAGTTATAGTTATATTGTCAAACCGCAAACAATCGTTCGAGATGGAATTATTTTATGCTGCTTGTATCTTTCATCGCTTATGGTTGATCATGATGATATTGATAATTCAGTTTGTTTCTATGGGTACGGCTAAAAAGAACAATAAATATTTCCACAATTATAGTAATAAGTACAAATAGTAATACAATAAATCAATAACTACTCATTTTTTCCCGAGATCCATGACTCAAAGTGCCGAAGGGTTAGCGAACAAGGTTTTTTATCGTGTATGCTAGCTCGCGACCGTCGTGCGTACGCGTACGTACATACTTACGTGCCCTCGGATCGCGCACATTTATCGCCTACGTTCCTATGGCTATGGCTATACCTTCGCAAAGTTATTTTGCGAGATAATCTGAATTGAATAATTGTTGGCGCGCGGCGCTGAACTGACCAAGTACTACATTGTTAATTTCACCATGTACATATCCAATTAGGCACAATGTTCGTGACGAAAGCCTTACGTATTGCTTTCATCATTCATTGCATCCGCTTGATACTATTGGTAACCCAGTTTGGTTCTATGAGTATGGCTCAAACAAACGGTGATTACATTCAGAATAGTAAGTCTATCGGTTCTTTTGCGATAGTCAAAACGCGACAACTAGCGCTGGATAGCGACAACTAGCGCTGGCTAGCGCTGGCTAGCGCTGGCCAGCGCTAGCTGACGAGTAATAGCGCAAAAATTTTGCGCTGGATATCGATGGCCAGCGCTGGCCAGCGCTGGCTATCGCTTTGCGCTGGCCAGCGCTGGCCAGCGCTAGTTGTCGCTATCCAGCGCTAGTTGTCGCTATCCAGCGCTAGTTATCGAACTGTTTTCTGCGATGGCCAGTTGCGCTGGCCATCGCAAACTATCGCGTGCAACAGTGTCGCATAGCCAGCGACAACTAGCGCTGGATAGCGACAACTAGCGCTGGATGGCGACAACTAGCGCTGGATGGCGACAACTAGCGCTGGATAGCGACAATTATCGAACATATATATTTTGCGCTGGCCAGCGTTATCCAGCGCTGGATAGCGACAACTAGCGCTGGATGGCGACAACTAGCGCTGGATAGCGCTAGTTGTCGCCATCCAGCGCTAGTTGTCGCGTTTTGACTATCGCAAAAGAACCAGTCTATCAATAGTACAATTTTGTAACTTCGTAGGACCTAAAATGTGGGATTTCTACCCTCAGATGACTGAGATACATATTTGTTTGTTTGGATATCATTCATAGCTAGGGTTTAATACAAAGATTGGTTTCTGAGCGATTACAGCAAATCGCATATATGACTCTTTATAAACTCTTAATCACTCTGTATAACTTTAAATATCAAGAAAACAGTTCACTTCGAAGTCAAATTCTTCCAGGCAGTCTTACTCCAACTTGCGAGATTCAAAATAATGGAGGCTTTCTCAAGTACGTCTGCGAAGAACTAGCGAACTCAACATCAGGTCATCTTGGTTTCCACAAATGTGTGAACTCATCACTATTCTATAAGTCCTTCATCGCCAGAAGCGGCAGGTATTATTTATATATATTTTTTCTTTCTCCTTCTCCGTGTCCTTCTCCCTTTACTGATTAAATTAACAATTATAATTGATCAAACAACCAATGGTTAATGATTAATGTGCGGTACCATTATCTACATTATCAGATAATATTCTGAGGTACCATATTATCTCAGTCACTGCCTCACTGGACACTGTCCAGTACTGTCCAACATTGTACTCAAGAGAACAATGTTGTTATAGCTAGCTGCCTGTGTTATATTTTCAGGATTTCCTACGCTTCAGTTGATGAACTATGCAAAAATGACTTACATCACTACCAAGCCTGTGGAATAGAATCAGTGATTCGTCCAATAAGCCCATTTTCTAGTTTTGCAACTAGTTCGATGGCAGGTAATGATTTTATCATCAAATTAAATTAGTTAACATAATATATCAATATATGTAGTTCATTATTACA